TCGGGCTTGCACCGATCCTCTCTTCACTTCGTGACAAGTGCCGAATATGCGCCGTGGCTTCCAGTGACCAGCAGTGGTCGCCTTGATCTGATAGCTGCTCTTGACACCACTGGTTGTTAGGAACTATGACTGTGTCCAGCGTTGAAGGGTTTTCTGTCTAAGGACTGCGCTGTTTACACCGACAGTAGCGCTTTTCTTGAATCAAACGCATTAGGAATGCAACCTGTTTTAAATTGCTATCAATGCTCCCTCACTTCATTCTGTATCGGGCAAAGAATCGTCGGTCGTCAATGAGCTAATTTGGCCACCATATCTTTCTTCTTCGTGTATAAAAATGCACGACTTTTAGGTGCGGTCTTCCAGTATGGGATTCTCCTGGCCCCATTTGCGCTTGCCTGGAGACATTAATTGAACTGTGTCAGTGGCGTTCGTGCTTTCAGCTTCCTCTCAGGTTGTCCGATTGAGCGCTCGGAGGTGTAGGCACCTCAGAATGCTTACAGCAGGCAAGCACCCGGTCCCCCTCCTCACCCTCTCCTTTCCTTTCTCACTCTAGGGCTTTAAGGATAGTCAGACAAACCCTATTCGTTTTGCAATTTTCTCGCCTTTCCAAACTTCCCACCACTAACTTATATACTCTGCATAAGCCCCAAACGACCCATACTTGTCAACTTTATTGTCAACTCATGAGTAATTGCGAAAAGACGACAAGAATGTGATCTTTATGGCTTCAGCAAGCAGTCCACCAAAATCTACGAAGTCTAGAGGACTTATGTTCTTCCAGTCTGGCGAAGGTAGCACTCCTGATATGATGCACTAATGGTGCCTCAGTTTCTTAACGTTTGTTGATAGCGGAGGTTCTGCTAACTTGTTCTGGTCCGTCGTGTTGTGTAATGGGAGATACACAGGCCCAGGTCATTCTGGTAATCAAAACTTTCCTGTAATATCTTAGGTAGGACTCACATCGTCTTGCCTTTCTCCGCTTGAATCTATTCAGGGAAAAACTTGTGGGTAGCAATATCTTACTCCCTGTGAACGATAACCATCCAAAGCTATCCGCATCATCCAGAAGTAGTTTATCTTGCTTTTATTCACCGCTACTACCAACCAGGGTATTCATCAGACATGAATTCTTCTGTTCCTTTACCTCAGCGTCTCGACCGAATGATGCGCTTATTCGCTTCCAGCCATCTATCAAGTTCTGACCTTCAGCTTCAGACTTTCTTCCACCTTCCTTAACACGATGAGTTTTCAGACTCCTAACGTCAAACTCTTCGAACTACGGTTTATTTGTACCTCAACCGACCACGAGGTTTCCGCCTACTCGTGTTTTGACTGACGTCGCAACCATGGACCCTCCTCACATGCGCGCAATGAACATTTTTAAAAGTAGTTTCAGGTGCCTCAGATACTTATGATGACAAAGAATTAAACCATTTGTCGTCTACCTTTTACTCTATTTTGACCTATCTTTGCATTCTACCTTGCATCGTGCCGTGGCTGCTGTCTGAATAACCTCTGTATACAGAGCTCTTAGTCGGCTAAACATTTACGCAGTAATACTCGTAGTATGGCCTTTGAATGGACTGACGAAAATCGTCCCAATGTCGGTTGGCTTCTAAGAACTGGTTTTTAGTTTCCCACCAGCCTTGTCTCTCATGCAGTCTAAGGAAGCTGGTGCGCCCGAGGTCGGTTGCATTTTTATATTGAATTTGCTATGGGGATTCAACTTATGAACGTAATTTCAAGATTTATTGATCTGTTGGCGTTTAACTTTCTGTATAGGGCCAAACAATTTTTAGTGGATACGAAAATCTCGCCGGAGTTCTCCGTTCTGAATCCTCCGTGAAGACATTTGCCAAAACTAGGGATGTTGAGCCCATATTTTTAGATCTTATTCTTCAACATAAATCACACGGTCCAAAACGAAATGAGTTGCTAGTAACGTATGAATTCCTAACATAAACACTTGATTTCGTGATAAGGGGTCTTAGAATACCTGCTAAGAATCTGGCCAGCTCATGGAGTTTGGAACTTATTCCGTCCACTATCTGTTGCGGCATCTAGCTTATGGATTTTCCGCAGACCATAAACCTCGTTGGATTGTTGGATTGTGATCTCGAAATACAATCGATATCACTTTCTTGCCCCAAATGTTTTATCATGAATCGCAGCTCCCCACTGATGGGTTATGCCGGTAGGGTCCCTCAGCTATTTGTTTGTTGTCTAGATGATGGCTGATTTCCATTAACACAATGGTCTTGTCCTTATCCGCCGTTGTAGTCACTTGATTGTGTTATGTAGCACCTACGAACCCAAATAAAACCACAAAGTCCCCAAATGACACTCACGAGGAATCATCAGTTGAAGTACATTGAACCAGAAGTTCAAGGATCCAAATCCGATCAAAATTATTCTTAATCTCACATCGACCGTAAGACTTAGGTACTCCCAGTACCCGCGAAACCTTTCAATGGATGTTCAACCTTAATCTATGGTGCTGTTCGAAAGCGATTTTTTTACTGTTTCTGTGCTCGTCGTAAAACTCGGCCAACTAGTAGCCTACTGATTTGACGTGACGAAACTTGTGCCAAAAGCGAAACGTCTCCGAAAACTTCTGAAATGATGACTCTTCGGTTGATTTCTGTGTTTTCGAACTAATCAAATACATTTTTTATATTACCTTACGTTGTGATTGATGAAATGTTCTCACTAGGGATGTAACTTGTTGCGGCGGCTCTCCCTCCACCTGACTTAAAACACGAGGTGCAGCTTTCGGAGTAGCTCTCTGATGAATTAGTTTACTAACCAAATACTTGGTGGAAATTGTCCCTAATGCCTAAAAAGTGATTTGCTTGTGGTCAATCAGCCTCATAATGAGTAACAGGATTGAGTTATGTCAGCTTGTCGAAGCTGACAGGGCAGTGGAAATATCGATGGTGAACCCGAAACGTGGACCTTCTGACCAATAGTCTGTGTCTTAATGCTGCTTGGGCCCGATTGTTACCGGACCATTTCCAGATCGGTCGGAGTTACTTGGTTAAGCAATTAAACTTTTTTTTACAGAGGAGCGACGCTGACGAGGATTAAACAGCTGTACAATGCTCTTCGGCTTGTCAGAGTATTTTTTAGAGGGTGGTGAGGACATCCGAAGTCCATTTTGGGGAAGGAAAGTAAAAGCGGAATGTTGGGTCCTTCGACGACGGTGGCTATAGCCTTAAGGGCATCTGGACCAATTGAAAGTTTGAGAGAGATGGGTGGAAGGATGTGTAGAACTGGGAAGTTGGTAGGATGTGTGGCGATGGAGAGCAGCATCGTTAGCTAATGCACCCAGGCTAGAAGATACCTTTGAAAACAAACGTTGCTATACAATATGAGCTGGAGAGAGGGTGGACCTTCGAGGGGAATGTGAGTTGATGTCGATGATTATGGAAATAATCCCATCAAGGCGCAAACCAATTGATCGGTGGCTCAAAAGGTCGAGTGTATCTCACAAGTTGGTAGCTTTGAGGGGAGATCAACGTATCTTGCACGATCAGAAGCTTTGAGAGTGTTGAAGGCTTTTACCCCTGTTTTGTCCAACATGTGCAGTGCTGGAAGACCTTGGATGTGAGACGTACAGCAGTAGGTCACCCGTGGAGAGACGTGCTAATCTTTACCGATACTTATTCAACCGGGTCTCGTCTTTAAGATTGCAGTTGTTTGGTCTGCAGATATTCAGAATCTGGACAAGATGAGGGTGATGTAGATGAGGTGACTGGGGATCAAGCTTGAGAAGAGGGAAATGGAATAAACCTCCAACCAGCTCGGAAAATACTTGTGGAGCCGAATGAATTAAGTCGACTCGTTACAATGGAGAGCATTTTAGGTGCACATTTCCGGAACGAAATAAGAGTAGGTTGGGAAATGTTGAGGGAGAGAACCAAGTGGCAGACTTTTCGCGTAGAAATGTTAGAGCTAAGTAGTATGATGGTTAAGGTGGTACAGCATGTGGAAATAGTGTTGGGTTTTGAAAAGGGTGATCCACAACGAGTTAAAAATTCTTATGAGGAAATGATCTGATGACCCAGTAAGTGTCAGGATTGGGAAGGAATGAAACTGTCCACGACTGTCACGACTGACTGCTTTGCGAAAGAAGTTATGGCTCCTGGTAGTTGCGCTCGGTAGTTGGTTGCATCGTCGCATTCCGCATTATCAACTGTAATTCCGCAGGAGTTTCGCACAAACGTGTAATTATAACGGATGGATGACTAGGATTGGAAACCTATCGACAGAATTCCTATGGGACCGGCCAAAATCGTTTTGCCTCTGGACGAAGTCCAGTATATTCAAACACGAATCAACTTGAAACTCAAACCAGTGTATTTTGGACTGTTCAGTATTTGGTCACTTCTGAACGTTACTGACCCTTTAATTGTTTCAATTCATGCTTTCCTTGGCAAAACGAACTGAGTGCGAACGCTTCAGGTTCATTGGTGCGACGATAAACTTCTGTTCAGATTGTTGAGTTTTTCGCGTCCATAACGGTCGTCTACAGGCTAAATTATCTGTACGAGCAGGCAAAATACGGCTCCGCACCACGCCGCTTCAATTACACTTTGAGGATACGTGTACCGATATCAGAAATTGACGTTCATCATTATTTCACCGTGTTTTAAATGAATCGGAGTGCTATCATCAGCGCAACTCAGTTCTGTCGTCAGATACCTGCTTGGCACAACCCTGTACATAAGTCACATACAAATATCCATTTTACCAGGCGTTCGTTGCTGAGTAAGTCTAGCCGCGTTCCATAGAGTTGTCGCTATGTATATCTGATCATATACTAACAAGTTAGACGAGCGTTCTGCTGTGGCTATTGTCTGTAAAAGGAATTAGAAACAAAAGAGAGCGTTGTCACGTCTAAGGATCTCCTTTTAAAGGGGCGATCACTGTTACTTCATCTTACCACCTACGAGCCTCACAAATATAATTTCAATCCCAATAAACCACTTCCCTCGCAGACTTACAACCGGTCCCCTATCAAGAACCGAAGTTCTGGTGCAGTATCGCTTACTACGAACTGAGTTGTCGTGTCGGAGAGGCCTACTTTGCTAGCCTTCCCAGTATTCTGGTTGATGGTTTCACAGATCCATCGCGCACTTCAGGCCGCTTTTCTCTTGGACTTCTATCAAACATCAACCGCAGCTTAACCGTTGAGAATACACGAAAGCAGATAGGAAAAGGTGAGTTGGTGACCCAGACTGGCGACACAGTTTCTATTAATGCGACTCCGATTGTCTTCGGTAATGATATGGGGTGGTATTTTTCACTCATCAATCATCACGTTTATATAAGTTGTCGTAAGCAAGATGTGACAGTACGATGAAAGGTGCATGGTGCCGTTTTGCCCTCAACACGCACGATCGTCATCATCATCATTGTCAGCTATAATAACCGCGTACTCGTCGTACTGTGGTTGCAGCTGCCGCAGTTTCGTTCACCGATGATTTGGGGTGTGGGTGGTAAGTAGCTGCGCATTGCAGGCGCGAGCTCGTAAATTGGTGCATAGATACAGCATTGTCAGTGAGCTGTCAAGTGGGGGGG